GCCCGGGACGGGGGATAGGACGTGACTGTGGCAGTGGGAACCCTTCTGTGGGCCCTGCTCTCCTCCTCTTCCTGCTGCAAACAGGACAAGAGGTTAACAGTGTGACGAGGGCGTGTCCTGGGCTGGCGCCCTCTGTGCTGTTTGTTTACCAAACAGAGATTGTTGCTAGGGGACCTTCCAGCCAATTCTCAGAACAGCTCCTGCGAACCCTCAGGGCTGGTCAGGCGGCTCCTGATTTGTAATGGAAGTGTGATCACAAACCCCCTTCTTTTTTCTCTTTATTATAAACTTGGACCTAAGATGAAATTGCCTCTGGAAGTGGAAGCAGGGAACTTGAGGTGCAGCCCCTACCCTGTGACCTTTCCATTCCAGGGGCTCACTCACCCCCAGTGAAGTTCAGTGAGTGTGAATGGCCAGGTCATCTTGGGCAGAATGTGACCAACTTCCGCTCAGCAGTCATCCCTGTGGGTGATCTGTGTGTTGAGGGGCAGTTCAGACCTGGCTGAGTGCTGAGTGCTGGCCGAGGTGTTTGCTCAGATGCTCAGGTGTTTGCTCAGATGCTCACGCTGTGCAAGGTGTGCTTGTTTGCTCTTGGTTTGGACAGCTTCATGTCCAAGGGGGCTGAGGGCAGCTTGCCACTGTGTCTGGGCAGGACACCATCCTAGAATCTCAGGGTCCCCTCCCCCTGGAAGCCTCACCTCTTTGTTCCTAGGGGACATGATCCAAGAGGTGACCCATCCACGGCCTTGCAGGTTTGGGACAGCTTGGGAAATGGGCCGCAGGCAGCTCTGCAGGGCTGGCCAGGCAGGCCCAGGTCAGGTGCCCCGGCACCTCCACTTTGAGGCTGAGGGTCCTAGTGCAGACTCTGCTGCCCCCACACTCCATGACAGTGGTCTCGGGTGTGAGGCAAGTGTAGACAAGGGGGCAAAGGCATGGGCCACATGCTTCAGTCCCAGCCTCACCTGCGGCCCAGGAGGAGGCCCCGCTGGCTAGCCCCCTGCCCTCCACCATCCCACCCACTAGTTTCTGACAAAAGCCCTTCTACTTTTGCTCTGCAGAGTAGGGGCTGCACCTGGGCCATGGTGCCACTTCCTGCTGTGTCTCATTGTCCTCACTGGCTGTCACCCTCCTGTGTCCTGCCACTCAGGACATGCTCCTGTTTCCCCAGTAACCACACAAACAGTGCCGCAGGCTCCTCAGGCTTCAGGGACCAGGTGCAGGGGGACCAGCGTGCCAAGACCTTGTTAATATTACCAGCTGTGACAGTGAGGCCCAGCCGCTGGCCACCTGCCTGCAGCCCCACACCCTGCACAGGAGCCTGGCCTCAGTCTGCTCAACAGCAGAGTAGAGAAGGCTCAGGCCTTACCCCCACCCCTGCAGGGTCTGGTGGCAATGGGAAGGGCCTCAGTGTCACCTTGTGCCCCACATGGCACCAGAGAGGTCTGGT